AAGGAAGGCAATATATTTAATTTAAAAGTAACAAATACACTTTTTTACATTAAAAAGTTTTGATAGCTGATTGTGCTATTCGTAAATTGTTACCTCACTTCAAGGTAATCAACGTAAACTTGTGTGAAGTAATTATTTCGTTTTTGTATAATGTGCTGCAAATACTATAACAGTTAACTCTTTTCCTGGTTGATTCATTTGTACAAATAAGAAATTATCTACTGTTCTTGACTATCGTGCCGCCTAGGCGCTTCGTTTGATTTGGACTTTTTGAAGTTATAGCTGCGTTGTTAGAAGGACAGAAATTACAATATTTCAATATTACATAGTAACTATTTCCAATAATACGAAGAAGTATGTGCTGTTGTAGCACTACTAGCATATAAGGCTTCACGTAATCCATTCTTTCTACTGGAGCCTGGATTTTCTTGTGGCCCTTTTCGACGATTATCTTGCGAGCCTTTTCGCGGCCTTAGTCAACGCAATCTGCGTTCCTGTTTCGGGCAGAAATGGTCTTCAAAAGGTGCTCAGGGAGTGCAGATACATTTATGTCCAGAAGCACGAGTCTAGCTCAGCATTTTCTGAGTGGATTGATGAGATGGAAGAGATGCCAGATACTGAAGCTAGATCAAAATTCACGAATGGTACTCGTAGTAAAGCCAGAGAGCACAGAACTTTGGAAAAACATTGTTAATTTGCACATAAAAATTATCGTTGTATTCTACAGGTTTTGAAAAGCAGCTTTCGTAAGTTGTTTTGGTGTAACTGCACTGTTTGTTATTTGCAGAGGCTTACAGACGGGTCGAGAAGAAACTTGCAATTCAACTCCAGAGCACCTATCGTATTGAGTGCCTTCAATGGATCAGAGAGTCCACAAGGAACTCAGCACATGAAAATACAAACTAAAAAGGACTTAATCAATCCCAACCAGAACAATATCGATCTCTTAGGCTATATAATCAAAATAAATTTCAACGACTGACAAAATCGACTGACAACAAATGACAAAATCAGTCATTTCAACGACTATCAGATCATATCAAGTACGTGCAAAGAGAACGGATCTTCACGGACCTCAAAATTATTTGAAAGTAAAAGTCAATCTAATACTGCAAGATAATTTCAATCGATACCGAAGAAATAAATTCATCCTGAAGACGTCATCGCGAACAGTGGTCAATCTCGCGCACATTTAAGCAACTCAGCATCCATGAGAAACGATGTGCTTAAGCGGGCCACTCCGAAGGAGAATGCTCAAAGTAAGCAAAGAGAGCACAGACAATGAACGTCTTTTCGAAATTTCTTTAATAATGGTACTAAATATTAAACACAGATATTTTACCTTACATATAACGTGTGTCGTATGATTGGCGTCAAAAGTATGATTGGTGGATATATTTTCGGTTGCGGAATGACTGGGACGCCAATAGCAATTTGAATAAAACGGCATTAAAGTTATTTTTTATCTGAAAAAAATTCCTAGACTAATACATACCTGGTACCCCCTTCCGAGTAGGAGTAATAAATACGGCAGGAATATGGCAATGATTGCAGATAGAGAGAAATGAAATATATGACAAAACATGTTCTCAGTTGGGATTTATAATACTTCTATAAGTATAGCCTGCATCTTAATTTTGATCAGAAGAGAATGTAACAAGAACTGTACAGGATGCTTCACGATTTTAACTAGTCTACAATATTTTTTTCACACCCAATCAAGTGTGTTTAATGAATTTGTGTGTATGATGATTGATAGTTTCAGAAACTGTTAGTGACAGCCTACACTGACACCGGAACACTAATAAAGCGGAGGAGGGGGATGCTGAGAATGAATTGCAATAATAATTCTAGTATATTTAAGAATTAATTTTATGTGCATTTTATACGACTATTACTTCTGTTAGTAATACAACTACCTTCTCATAGAGTGTGTTAATTTTTTGAGGAATGGTAAACGCAAATTTATTTCGATCATATTCTGATCTTTTGCTGTACATTTGTGTGCTTGCTGATCATTCCGCAGAGGCACAGATGGCCACGCCCTGTTTTGAAAAACTACTTCAACATTCACTATCTTACTCTGATTGCACAATTGTTCGCTGCATCAAAAGGAAATTAAATGATATTCAACGTGCTTATGGGTGGCTTGTTCGTAAGATAACTCGCGAGTACACAATGTGACCGTTTCGAATTGCGTTGTAAACATCTGGGAAGCGTGAAGTCGTATACCAGCCCTGAGGACGATCACGACAGGATGGTCGAAACGTCGGCAACATAGCCTACGACGCGGCGTCACCCGGACAGCCCAGATCACGCATCTGGGAAGCGTTTAAAGACTAAACCGTTTCTTAGGGTTAGGAAAGGCTCTAATAATAAATGTCCTACACCAGTGGCGGCCGGTGAATTGCGAATTAGGGGCAGCGGGGATTGCAATTAGGAATTGCGGCAGCACAACCGAACTATCACATGAATTTTACGTCTTCAAAATATTTATTGAACGAGGAGCATGTTGTGTATGACCGATTTGCACGCATCGGGATTTTAATTCTTGTCTAATACAATAATTTATTAGATTACTTCTAATTTACGCTGATAACGGAAGCAACAATTATAGTACCCACGCGAAAATAATCATTTAAAAAATATTTCCAACAAACAAAACAATAATTTATGAAAACATGAAAGGATCGGTTTTGTTACTTTAGTTAATAGTCCGTTCGCCGAACAAAATCCTAATCCCATCCAACTTCGAGTACCCCCACTCTCCTCTTGCTTCCATTGTCTCGCTTGCACCGGATACAGACGGACACGCGGTAGTCCGCGATGCGATCCATTCTAAAAACATGTATCTTTCGCTTTGTCTGGCTCATTAAACTGAATTCGTCCTCAAAAATTTCGCTGGTGGTATGCACAAATTAAATGTGTCGACTTATCGCAAGTTGGTAACTTTTCCCCAGATTTGTTTCTCTGAGGAGAGGGCGGCCCAAGAGCCCTTAAGGTCCACTCAGCACTGTTTTACACAAAGTTATTCCTTACCTAGACAAAGATACAGGAAGTTCAACCTTAACCTCAACTCCTGACAAAGACTTAGGAAATGCAATCTCAACGCCTTCTTAACTAGACAAAGATATGGGAAATTCAGCTTCACCCTCAACAAAACATCATGTCGAAAATGTTTTTGGAAAGTAATGTTGAATTTTGCGGTTTTCGTCCCTTCGTGAATACAGCCGCAATTCTAGAAAAGTGCTGGTTAAAGAGATTTGCCACTTTTTCCGGACTACTAGCTTCTCCTTCATTATTCTTTAAAACAACATTGTCTAGTAAGTAACGAGATGATGTAATCGCTTTTTTACGTTATTCCACATTGCTTTACTTTTGTTGCTAGCGTTCAAAATATCCTGATTATTTTTCATTATTTTTGCCTGCACAATTACTTTCTTTCAAATTCTTTTTTATTCTCGGAAGTAGACATGGCAACCGGATGATACCTTATGATATTAAGAAATAAAGTAAAGCGTACGTTTGTTTTTACACGATGATCCAAGTATTTTTCCGTGAAATATTTAATTTTCTCTTTTTGAGAGGAAAGCATGCGTTAAAGTGAAATGAAAGTTTTGAGAAAAATAGATTAAATTTTTCATTTATGTAATCAGCATTATAAACTGTGCCCCATGTGTCAATGTTCATGTTATTAGTAATTGTAAGAATTTGTGCATCGTGTAACCTAGATTAGTACTTTTTATTTCATATATAGTGGTGGTTTTGTTAATTATAATTTGATCTACTGCTTTTTATTATTTGATCTTTTGCTTTTTATCATTACGTAATGTTCAGCCTATGCATATTTGTTTGTATACTATACCCGACTCTAAAAATCTGTTGAATGTACAGTTTTATTTAATATAGAGACATCGTATCATTAACGTTAAGTAAATAAGGTCTCTCTCCTAACCATGTCGCCGTCCAACATTGAAATCCTCGGTATAACTTCTCTAATACCCTTCGCTGCATAAAAGTTCCAACAAAATTATGGGACTCAGTGTTTTCAATTTTCTTTCATATTACATTTAAATCGTATTTTTAAAAGAGAAAACGTAATTGGGCTAATTTCAACTAAGGTTTGGAGATTGAAAGAAAATACATCAATACTTTGAGAGTACAAATTGTAGGGTTTTCATACAATTCGGTAGGGTTTTCGATTGAGAAAAAATGTTCCAGATGAAGTGTTTCAGTTGGTTATCGCACATGAACCGTACTTTGAACAGAGAACATCACATGATGATCAGAGTACACCACAAGACATTAGATTTTTTCTTTTTGAAATTTCAATTCATTGATTTGATCAGGTACGTATGCAATACTAATTTCATGTTACTATTCGTAATATATAGAACTATGATTAAAAAAGTTGTTAATTATAGTTGAATTTGCCAATTTATTCAATTTTCCAAAATTGTATAAATGCATTTGCAAAACTTTCATAATTATTTATATACATCGAAGATTCTATATATCGAAGGAACCGTTCAAATCGAAATTTTGAGGATATAATATTATGAATTGTCACATCAATGAATTTACTTCCTTTCACTAATTTTGTTTTTTTTAACCTCAGCAATTTTTAGATACTTATTAAAAATGGAAGAGATATTTTGCCTTTTATTGATTACTACTATATAAACTGTGTCCCTACTTATTTATTTTTAAACACTTTTCTAGACGCTTTGTAATTGAATTTCTTATTCGGTCGCTTTGATTAATTTTTGTCCCTGATTCTTTCTTTGACATCTCTGCAGTCTAGTAGTTTGAGCCTCTGTTGGTGGCCATGCTCGTGCTCCACAACCACACTTGCAGTGCCAACTGACTCTGCTGACGCCTTCTGACAAAGGATTTTGTTGTGTGAAAGGATAATTTGGGGCGAAGGATTTGAATTATTTAATAAATTACAGTTCGAAACTGTTATGCTCAGGAAAAGATGTTCGACTAAACATAACTTTATTCCGTTTAACTTTGTACATTACATGTACATAAAACTCTTTATGCAACTCAAATGCCTTTCCCAATCTCTGCATATTTCTTTGCCATCTCTGCAGTCTAGTAGTTTGAGCCTCTGTTGGTGGCTAAACAATCTCCCAAACATCAGTCACATACAGTTTTTACTGTTGTTGTTTTCTTCCTTTTTTTTTTACTGAATAAATGTAAACCTAAATCATCTTATCGGTGTGATGCTTCACTCGTCACGCCAAGCCGTCATCCCAACTGTGTAGAGCGGAAATCCCGGGCTGCAGCTTCCCGTGCTCGGCCGTTACCTCCGGCTGTGGGATTCAACAAAGGCCACGGCCCCAGTTGGTCCGTGTTTCCGGCGTGGGTGGGCGACTCTCTCACTCCCACAAAAAAGTAGTCGACACCGAGCGCTTCTTGGCTCTGTCTGTGCGTGGGCGTCCCTAGGCCCGCAGCTCCCGATGGCTCGCGTCGCCCTGCGGACGGGCGATCTCGCAGCCTCCTTCCCGTCGACTCGCTGGGCTGGCCGGGCTCCGTCTCGTCTCCCAAGTACGAAGCTGCCGATGTCTTCAACCTTTCCAATCCCAATTTTTTTAAGTAACGAAAAATATTTAGTTGTTTTCGAGTCGCAATAGCAATGTGTTAAATATAGATGACTACTTTTTCAAATATGCCGTAATGATTTCATACACTAGGACACGATTTTTAATACCAAAAAGGAATATTCGGATTTGAGTGTTAATCTGTGGGTAACTCTCTGTTGAGTAAACAAATATGACAAGAACGTAATTTATTTTCGCAAATTAATACAAGCAATTCAAATTACTGTTTAAATACTTATCAGTTCCTTGATACAGAGAAACGTAAGAACAACATTATATTCAATGCCCGCAGCATGATCCACTGAAATACCATATTTTGAAATAGTACATAAAATACAAGTTTGAATCGTCGCCTGTCAATGTAGTTAACTGTACTTGCATTTGTTTTTCTTCCATAAGTGAAATATAAATTTACACTCTAAATGTGTTTATTGCATTCTTCTGTGAAAACAAACACTAAAATATTTAAGTCTTGGAAACGTTTCAATGAATTTTTCTTTGCAGAAATACTTATGAAGCAAATCAGTGTCAAACTAGTGGTGCTACACAATGGCACATACTTTCTTGCAGTAGTTTGTTTTCTACAATAGTCTCAACTAGCTCTTTGGAATTGCCCCCCTCGTTACAGCTGCTACTTATTGTTACCAAAGCATCTTTTTCTCAATTTTTCCGCCCTCTAATAGTAGAGAAATATTGAAATATGTTTTCAGAAAATATCACAGAAAAATTAAACATATTCCAAATAGTAAAAGTTTCATAAAAACATTTGCAGCCATTCTTGAGAAAATGTCATTTGAGCGTTTCTGAAAATGCTTCCTTTGTACAGATACATTTTGAGTTTCCGAGAAACTTCGAAAGAAATCATTTTAAGCAATTGTACTAGCAAATAAAATAATCTATAAAAAACGCTCTTAATGCAAATATTAACATGAGTAATGTATACAGAAAATTACATTTGTGTAATTTTTGAAAAATTTAAATCACACATCAAAATGAGTATGTCATGTTAATCAGCGGATGTTGCATTACCCACACAAAAGGCTAAAGATAAAAATTCAAACATATTTTAGTAAAGTCTGTTTTAGATAATATTAAAATGTTACCCATATTTAGCTATAACTTACGCAAAAACTATTCTTATTTTGAAAAATGTGTCTTCGTTTAAAAATAAAAATTTGAAGAACAGATTTTATTCACAGAAAAAATATGTCTTCAGTACTGTCAACAGAAAATTTAAATCTTTTATAATTTTCGAACATTCAAATATTTCAACGAAATTGTGATGTCTATTAAAGTTTTATTCCAGAAATAGTGATACTAAATACAACTCTTGCATTGGAAATATACATTCAATCCACTCATGGTGTTTATTATCATAAATCTCTCTTCCTCATCGGATAGGTTTTTGAGAAATACATTTATGTTAATATCAATCATGATTATGTTATTATCATTCGCCTTCTATTCTCGGGTCTACGTCAATTTGTTTTTATTGTGAATGAACCTTAAAGATTTAATACATTACGAAACTTATGTATAAACCCTTAAAAATTAATCAAAATGCTAATTCATTAGCCCATGTGATAGAAATTTAGGTAATGGCGATTTCTTTTGTGCGTTCAACAGAAGGAATACCAGAGAGAAAATGATATAAAGTTCAGTGAAGATGGTAGAAGGTCTTACATATGAAAAGTAGTACGTGCAAATCAATTCTACTATAAAGGATATCTCCGTTTGATTCCCTATTTTCTCGTGCATTTTGTTGAAAATAACTTCATGAACTTGGATGGACGGTGCGCATCTGTCTTGCAACGCCAGAGCTGTTCGCACAGCGGCGCATTTCCCCGCCTGCGCATGCGCATTTGCGCAAAACGCTGTGCGCCCGAGTGGGCGCGCCACCGCTCCGCGCAGAAGGTGACGGCAGCTGCGCACAGACACGAGGCCAGCAGCTGCAGATGCGCCAGCACATCTGCCACGCCCAGCGGCCTTGGACCGTCCCGGCTGAGAAAAAAAAGACACACAATATTAAAGCGAAGAAGCCCTTTCGAAAATCGTGCTTGAAGGCTTAAAACTTTTATACATTAGGATCACCTGTGAGTTATGATTTGTTATGACCAGGGTACGGATTCCGATGACATGACATCTTCTCATTGGTGCATTCTAGACGTAGCTAGCTTGTAAATAAATGGATATTACGACATATATGTGGTAGAAATGTATAGTTTTGGGTTCATTGTCATTTTTTACCATCTTTCAATTTTTAAGTATTTTTTGGATCTTTTATTCATATTATTTCCTTTTCGTGTTTTTAGTTGTGAATGTTTCATAAATTGACAAAGACTAACTAAAAGAAAGTTTTTATTGTATCAGTTCATGCAAATTTCACTACTAAAATTACCCGCATCGGTAACATCTTCGACCTTTCAAAACTGACCTTTGGAAGATCGAAGGGAAGGATTACATTTCCTCCTAAAATAAATAGTTTATTTTAAATATAATTTTATGTATTTAAAATTGTAAAATTCATTGAAAAAAATCAACATTTTCGAAGAGTTGAGTATTTAAAAAATAGGTCGTTTTCGCCTTATTTTTAATTGTTTTATAGGTAATATACCTCTAATTTTAAGTCATTTTCAAAGAATGTTTAAGTCATCATAATCTAATACCTGATCATGATATATGGACACAAGCCTCACGGCCTTACCTTAGGGTAATAAGTCGGGGGATGATTTTAATGTCCATTATCGAGTCTCACGAGTGATGCGTGCACACTGCTTTTGCTATAGGCATCCTATGATTCATTATCACCATCAACTGCGAAATTCAAGCCTGTGCCCGAGATTGCTAAACATGAGGGTTGTAGCGCGCAGTGAAGAGAGTTGTGGGTTTGATTCCTGGGCGTTATGCCAAGGTTTACTTTCTCACCTTCCATGGTTCATTTTTTCCAACAATATCTTTTCGTTACGTAAGGGGATGCCAGGTCAGTCTGGGCGTTTGCGGAGGCGTGCGTGTAAGACATTGGCACGTAGCATGGGATGTTGCTTTTCCTGATTCGCCTTGTGTTCTGGTATGGTGGGCCAGACCCATCCATGACCCATCGCCCTAGACGCCTAAATCCTTCCCGCCCTGTCAAATACCTGCTATTCGATATCGGCTAGCTCAGATGAGATGGCTACATGGCCTGGGCATTCATGATTGTGATCAGCTCCCAACAACCATGAAACGAAAGAGAGGGATGGACCTATGGGCTACCTCCGAAAGTCGATGTGTAGAGATAAGTCTCGAGCCGACATTAAGTAGAACAGTACAAGCAGAAGAAGGGAGATTGACCTTAGCACCTGCAACTCGCAAGGTAGGGTGACTTGCGGGATGTCGAGGAGGACAGGGGACTAGCGAGCAAGATAGACTGAAATCATAAATTTCAAGGACCTCCCGTCCCGTCTCTTTGCGCTTTATTCTGTCATTAAAATTACTGTGGCTTTGCAAACCTCCAGTCGTCTTCGTAAATCAGATAGGGCAGCTGATTCCGAAACGCGAGGCCGAAGGATCGGTTGAAGTCGTCCCGCCACTTGTTCACCAAGCCTCCTTGCACCAGGCGGAGGTTCAGGGCGATCACCGCCTCCGTCCACGGCCAGTTCCTGCGCAAAGCACCACGCGTCACGCCGACGGCACGCAGGAGTTCACGAAAATGATACTCTACATCCCAAGATTAGGACCGGGAGAGGCGGCTCAGGGAATCAACTAATGCCCCTGCAGTGCCTCTGACCGGGTGGTCCTACGTTCGAGTCCCGACGGTGGTAGGATTTTCGACAACACTAGCTTGTCTGCCAGGTCGAATTCAGTCGCTATCCGGAGGAGAGTTCCCGCGGCCGGCTGCTCTGATCGGTAGTTTTCCGTGGTTTCGCCGCTCATCACCAAGCGAATGCCGGAGCAGCTCCCTAACAAACGGGCCACGAACCGCGCGCGATCTTTCCTTCCTCCTCCACGTCCTATCCTCATCCCTTACTAACACACACTTACGCTAGCATACACTACACAACTACACCGCCGCGAGACCGGTCGGGTGCTTAAAGCTTGTTCCGGCTTAGGTAGTGCCCCGCTGGTGAGAGATTCCTGGTTAGAGAAAATCCCTTAAGCCGACGGTAGTTAGGGGCCGGATTTTGATAAAATGTATGTGTTTCTGTAAATGCGAAACGTGAAGCTCTTTTTCACGGAAAACTTTTGAGTTTCCGAAAACGTTTATTGAAAATCAGCTAAAGCCCTTGTACTCACAAATACAATAATATACACAAATCACTGGTAGTATAAATATTAATGACGTGAGAGATGTTTCAAAAGAAATAAATTTGTGTGTTTAAAAAGAAAAGCATATATCAAAGTGACATTGATATCATGTTATTTAGTACATTTAGTGAAAACTAAAGAAAGAAAATTGGAGTCGTTTTCGGGAAAATGGCATTTTAGTGTTTCTAAATATGTGCAATTTTCATTTTAATTTCACTGAAAATTTTTTAGACTTCCAGAAACTTCATGAGACATAATTTGAAGAAGATGTACTCATAAATACAACGTTTACAAATTGCTGGTAATGTAAATATTAACGACATAAGAGAAATGTCAAAGAAATAATTTTTGAAAAAGCAAAAGGATACAGCGAAATGGCGTTTTTGTCGTCTTATTCAGAAAAAAATTGCATTTCTTATTAATTGTGAATGCAAAGTAACCTACCGCCTGGCACATGAGTGGTGTCGAAGAGACGACAACTTTTCATTCATAGGCCGCGAATGGCTCAATACCTTGTTTTGGATTGCAAACATTGTCCAGAAAGTAGAGCCAAAAGTATAAGCAGCGCGTTTATTTTTCATTTCTAACCACCATTCCAGTGAGGTATTTTTATTTCTAATATCTAAATTTTGTAATATTTTATTATTTTTCACAACTCTAAGCAGAAAGTACTTCCCAAATCCATTCGGTAAAAATAATGGTATTCCAGAACTGGCCAGATGTTCGAAGGTGTCAATTTCAGGATAATGGTCAGGCTGCACAATGAGATTGTAGAGGCGACCCTGAAATACAAATATAATTTCATTCCGAAGAAAGTAAAACACATAGCATCACAATACTATTGTATCCTTTTGCGCTTAACTGTCATATTAACAGGTTAAATTCTTTTTTCAGTGTCATTTGGTCCAAACTGTCGACATACATAGTTTATTATGCAACAATGAAGAAACATACATTTGTATCGCTAGCAACATAAATAGAAATTACAAAAATTCTGTGGGTTCACAGTAGAAAATAAAAATACTTGAAAATTTAAAAAAATAAGTGCAGAATATCCTTTATAATGCCTTAAATTGCATGGTAGTATGTTTACACTTCTACGAAATAAGGCTTTATCCTCTTTTTTATTTTAAGCATTTAATTGCTGGAAAATATCCCTGGAATATTTTCAAACCGTTTTATGGGTAAAGCATTTTCTCTCCTATTTCTTCAAAATATAGAAATTATATTAGTTTTTTTTAAATAAATAATATTAGAAATATCATAAACGCAACTTGTGTAATTAGGTTCACACTACTATCTTGAATTGCTAAACCTGCACCATTCTCTTAAACGTCATTTACACTGTTCAACAACAAAATGTAATAAAGAAACAATGGAGCCTTTTTTTTAATTTTAGAAATGTCAGCGGGACTTCATGTAAAGAAGCCCCCAACCTTAAAATTTCGGTTTTAAATTCAAGGGGCCGTGCCATCAGCCAGATCGATTGGGATATATCAATTTTGGAGAAATCGGCTAAACAGTTTACCCTCTAGCATTGTTTCGCAGCATTGTAGTGCAGAGTGACAGACTGACGGACGACTGTATTTATCCACCACGCTTTCGTTACCAGGGCCATGTAATAAGAATTTTTCTGCGAAAATTCGCCGTTTTTTCGCGCAGCCTTACATAACTGTCTATCTACTCCGTAACGAGAAAGTAAAAAGATATGGGCTCCCCCTCCCCCAGCAATGCTCCCCATCATTTGGGGTAGATGAAGGGTGGAGTTTCGAGGGGGTTGTTGGGGGCCTCGAGAAAGCCATGATTGTAACTGAAGCAGAATGTCCCTTGTCTAAAAAAAAACAGTTAAAAAAATGTTCGCAAATTGTGACGTTATATTTATGTCCAAAAGCAAAGCAAGGGAGAACCTGAACTATTGTTCAAAGGAACAATGAAACTGGACGAAAAACTGATCAAAAGGGGAACATTGTCGCAAAAGCAGGGGTATAATACGTGGTACAGATAGAATTACAACGAAAGTAATTGTTTTAAATAGTAAAGAATTTGAAGTTTCGAAGTTACTTCGTTCTGATTAATTTTTAATCCTACGCCTGCCTAATATCCTACGTCACCGGAAATGTTTATCTCGATCGGATTTCCTTATTTACAACTCGCATACACGAGATACTCCCTACGAAATAAGGGAGTCGTGACCCATATTTGACAATCGTCGTGAAGTTGAAGGTGTCCTCACCTGATAGGTGGCAGCAACGACGACGGCGGAGGCGAGCAGCGCGGCGGCCAGCTGCAGGCGCTGCGGCGTGGCGCGCACCCT